ATATACCATATCTTTATCCATTTATCTGTCGATGGACATCTAGGTTGTTTCTGTGTCTTGGCTATTGTAAATAGTGCTGCTATGAACATAGGGCTGCAAGTATCTTTTCAAATTATAGTTTTGTCTGGATATATGCCCAGGAATGGGACTGCTGGATCATATGGCAACTCTATTTTTAGTTTTTTGAGGAACATCCATACTATCCATACTGTTTTCCATAGTGACTGCACCAATTTACATTCCCACCAACAGTGTGAGAGGGTTCCATTTTCTCCACACCCTCTCCATCATTTATTATTTGTAGACTTTTTAATGATGGCCATCCTGTGGTGTGAGGTGGTACCTCATTGTAGTTTTGATTTGCATTTCTCTAATAATTAGCGATGATGAGCATCTTTTCATGTGGATCTTCTGCCCATTTTTCGATTGGGTTGTTTTTTTGTTATTGAATTGTATGAGCTGTTTGTATATTTTGGAGATTAATCTGTTGTCAGTCACATCATTTGCAGATATTTTCTCCTAGTCTGTAGGTTGTCTTTTCATTTTATTTATGATTTCCTTTGCTGTGCAAAAGCTTGTAAGTTTGATTCCATTTGTTTACTTTTGCTTTTATTTCTATTGCCTTTGGAGACTGACCTAAGAAAACATTGCCAAAATTTATTTCAGAGAATGTTTTGCCTATGTTCTCTTCCAGGAGTTTTATGGGGTCATGTCTTATATTTAAGTCTTTAAGCCATTTTGAGTTTATTTTTGTGTATGGTGTGAGGGTGTGTTCTAACTTCATTGATTTACATGCAGTTGTCCAACTTCCCAACACCACTTGCTGAAGAGATTGTCTTTTCCACATTGTATATTCTTGCCTCCTTTGTTGAAAATTAATTGACCATAGACATGTGGGTTTATTTCTGGGCTCTTTCTTCTATTCCATTGATCATATGTCTGTTTTTGTGCCAATACCATGCTGTTTTGATTATTGTAGTTTCATAGTATTATCTGAAGTCTGGGAGGGTTATGCCTCCTGCTGTGTTCTTTTTCCTCAAGATTGCTTTGGCAATTCTGGGTCTTTTATGGTTCCATATAAATTTTAGGATTATTTATTCTAGTTCTGTGAAAAATGTCATGGGAAATTTGATAGGGATTGCGTTAAATATGTAGATTGCTTTGGGTAGTATGACAATTTTAACAATAAGTAATAGGACTTTTTCAAATTGTTTTTTGCTGTGTTTTGTTTTTACGTTTGGGTACACCATACCAAATGTAGTATCTTATAAATTTTAACTATGGAATAGGTAAAATAATTTCTGATGCCTAAATTATACTGGATTTATTAGTCAAATCAACCATCACTGTTAAATGAACCTTTCTCTTTAGGTTGGGAAAAATATTCCTTGGATTTTAAAGGAATATGTATTTTATAGATATTTAACATATATTTTATAGATATTCCTAACTCTTGAGCCAATATAAAAAAATATGTTTAGCTATGCTCTCTAGCAGCAAATTCAAATTCTTTAGAATTTCCTAGGTAGACTGTTGTAATGTCTTAATTTTTTAACTGACCACACAAATATTTTCAGCATTCCTACTATATTCAAGATCTTGTGTTAGGACCTGGGATTCAAAGATAAGCAAGATACCATTATTATTGCCAAGGAGCTCACAGTCCAAGGGGCTCCAAAAAATGTATGATAAATACTATAGCAGGTATTTGCAGGAAACTGAACAGGGATGGAGTCCATATTTCCAAATGAGAATAAAGGAAGGCCTCTTGGAAGAGGTTTCTTAGCTAATCCTATATCACTGCACCAAAATTCTCAAGTTTTAAGAACAAGAGGGCAAACAGTTGTTCCATATGTGTATGCAAGAGAAATAATCAGGAGAATTAAGCTAATAAATCACCTTGGAATGCCCAAACTTCTTCAGCATATGTATCACAGAATTTCAGATTGTTAGCAAATATGAATAAATATAAATAATACATATGACTGATATTCCAAGACTTTCCCCACATTGCTCAAATAAAATGGTAGCAGGTTTTCTCTGGCCCTCTTTATTCATTATACAATTGTTTCTAGCGACCAACGGTATAATACTTATTAATATCTTTTCCTTTTCCTTGTAGGATTACCGGAGAGTAAATGAAACATGTGAAGCTTAGTGCAGGGCCTGGCACACAGTAGCATTCAATAAGTGATAATCTCCCTCTCCAGTCCAAGGAGAGGGAGACTTCTATGCCCATTCACTACAGTGCCTTTGCAATTAACGATGTGCTAATAAATGTTTGAACTCTACACTAACCTCATGGCTAATTACCACTACCCACCAAAGAAATCTTTAGCATCTTCCTTTTTTTCCCAGTTTCTTCAGTCCCCCACTGTATTCTTAGTAATACCTTATGATAAAACTCTTAAATTCTTAAAACAAGACTGTCACATTTAAGTTATACAAGAAATTTTTAATCACACAAACATGATTCATGAAACAGTTTTTGGAGGTTTCTGCCAGTGCAATTGCAAACAGAAGTATCAAGATTTTATTACCCCTAGGAAAATAAGTCCCACAAGTATTGAGATTACATACTATTCCAAATTCCAAAGTAGACCAAAACAAGGCAACAAGTGTAGATAAAGCACACTGACAACAGATGGCAGCACTAGAACATCAAACCCTGCCTTTCACTTCAATGTTAGGCTGTGACTTACAAAAATGCAGAACCCCAGTCAAGGTGGGCAAAAGATAATGTGTACCTAGAGGGTTCCTCATGAGCATTTGAAATAGTCACATAGCACCAAGCAGCAAGCACACAGGGATGCAGAAGTTGTTACATCGCATGGTAATGAGAAGGGACAATATGAGATGAAAGTGTTCTGAGATAGAGGGTGTGACTTGGGAGTTGTAAAAATTGTACACAGAAGTGGAGTCAGGCTCTTCAATCCCAAAAATGGGGGTATTCACCAAGGATCAGAGCACTGGATACATATAAACACTTAAAATGCATTTCAGTTGTACCCACACAATATAGTAGGAAGTTGAATGATATATTTTTTTAAAGAAATGAAATTTGTTTTCAAATGTAGTTCATATAAACAAAAGAAAGTGCTAAGTAATAGAAAATGAGTATTACAGTTAATTTTTTGGATAATAGTTCTTAAATATTAATAGATTTGTATATGGCTTATAACTGGGAAAAATTATTTTTTTGAAAAAAACTTTGACTGATTTGCCAATTTATTACACTGGTAACTTAAACATGAAGAAATGGATTTCCTCATCCTTCTATTCCCAGTGATTAACAGCTAAGACTTGGGAGAAAAAGACACCTAGATTGAAATCTCACCTCAGTGCATCTTTAGCTACTTAAATTCTCTGTGACTCATCTATAAAAAACTGACCACAGCTAACTGACAGGATTTTGTGAGAGTCAAAGAAGTAAAGCAGATAGCACAATGTTTAGCACATAGTATGTATTCAGTAACTGAAAGCTATTATTGTGATTCCATGTGTACGTGGGCCCCTCAACCCCAACTTTAAATTATTTTCGGACTTTAAATTCCTGAAAATGGGATTGCTAACTATATTATGAATAGAGAAAGTGGTGGGAACTTGGTAGCTGTAGTAATGATGTTCTTGCAAATACGGCGGATAAAAAAAAGTTAATTTGGAAGGGAGCAGGGGCAAGATGCAAATCTTAGTTTTATATTATTTCTGGGTAAAACCTGTGTGAATGTGCCTACTTAAGCTCAAGGCAAGGACCTCTGAGTAGTTTTGCTTAGCTAAGTTTGTTGAAGCCAAAGGACTTTATGCTAAACAGTCTGCCCTGACTCAGAGAGCAAACTAAAGCTATGATTTCTTATTCCTCATTGGCATAGCATTAGTGAGGGGCCCACAGTGCAGGCTTTGGTGGAGATTAACTGGAAGAGCCTGTCTTCTGCCAGTAAGCTATTCCCTTAGGCAAGTCTCCTAGGAGGGGCAGTTTCTACTCTATCAGACTGGTTTCTCCTTCTGTTTTCAAGACTGGGCTACTCTTGAAGTGGAAGGGGGTTGAGAGTGAGTATTCAAATTAAAGTTGCAGCTATAAGGGTTAGACTCAGTAGCCTATGAGTTCTGCTAACGTGAGGGTCATGCCTCATTCATTTTTGTGCCCCCCGATGCCTCAACAGGGTTCTGCATTCAATATAATTATGAATATATGAATCCTCATAATTTTTTTTAACCTAATTGTCACGTGTAGGAACACTACGCCAGTTTTTAAAATAAGTACACCTTTTTAGGTAGTTGCTTTGGAAATGTATGACCTGTGGTGTGAATAATAAGGCATACCAAGTGCCAAGCACTGGAGCTAAGCATTTTACCTTACTACTGAGTGAAGTAAATTTTGGAAACTGAGGCTTCGACATTAAAGAATACAACTAAGATGGCACAGCTAATAGGTGACAGAGTTTAAAACTTGAACCCAAGGCTGCCTGACTTTTAATCACAAGAGTAAAGGCCTCGTATTAATTCAGCAAAACTTGGTGAGCCGCTGCCCTTCAACTTGCAGTTCTAGACAGATTCCACCCGGAATTTAAGGCCTGGTTTACCAAGAAGAACGAGTGTGTCCACACACCCCACGCACCTCACCCTAAACGAACTGGACTGGAAAAAGTAAAACGTGGCCACTGCGCAGGCTCAAACGTCCCTTCCTCACTCTTCCTTCCCTGCTCCGGGACGTCACCGCGGAAACTTTCCCGGACGACTCTAAAACGGCTCCCGCCCACTCTGAAGTCAAACGGGTGGAAGCTGTTCCTCTCTGCGACGTGGACAACCTTCTCTTCCTCGGGCCTTTCCAACTTGGAAGCCAACACCACGCGCCTCGGTTTCTCGGGGATTCAAGCAGGAGTTTGCCAGATGTCAATATGGCCGCTGACAGGCGGTCCCAAGCAGAGGCTTTTCATAGGCCAAGGTCGCACCCCAGCCCCGCCCATTTCATCCCTCCTCGCTGCGTCCGCCGAGGCCTTCGATACGCATGCGCGGCGAGGGCGGGCCGAGAGGTGGGACGGCCCGCGTCTTCCGTGTGCCGCCGCCACCGCTGCTGCCTGAGCTTCGCCGCTCCTGCCCCTCCGGGGCTGCATAGCCGGCGTTACCCGCGCGAGGGTTAAGAGAGGGGACCGACGGAGCGTGCGTACGCGGGGGTTCCCGCAGTCCCATCACTTCCTCTCGCGGGTGGACTGCGAGGTCAGCAGCAGTCGGGGGAGGCCATAGACGGCGCCATGTCGGCGGGCGGCCCATGCCCGGCAGGAGCCGGCGGGGGCCCAGGAGGAGCCTCATGCGCCGTGGGGGTCTCCCCCGGCGGGGTATCCATGTTCCGGTGGCTGGAGGTGCTGGAGAAGGAGTTCGACAAGGCCTTCGTGGATGTGGATCTGCTCCTGGGCGAGATCGATCCGGACCAGGCGGACATCACTTATGAGGGGAGACAGAAGATGACCAGCCTGAGCTCCTGCTTTGCGCAGCTTTGCCACAAAGCCCAGACTGTGTCCCAAATCAACCACAAGCTAGAGGTGAGCTGTGGGCGCTGGAGGGGGTGGCATTCAACTCCAGTCATCAGACCTCATTTAACGCACCCGTGAAACGACCCTAGAAAACTGCCAGCCGGGGCACCTGGGCTTCCTACGTGACGGGGGAGTGCGCGCGCGCGCAGGAAAGGAGTGAGGTGAGGTTAGAGCAGAAAAAGGTGTGTGGACTGACGTGTGGGTCTCCCGGGATCCTGTCGTCCACCTTCCTTGTATCTCTATGAAGAGGAAGCAGGAACTAATTACTCTAGCCTACTTGTGCCTGTTACGTTAACAGATCTCAGACTTAACTGAAGCTCAGAGATTCTGTCATAAGAATACTTTAGCTCACCTTTTAACATTTGAGTTTTTAGATCTACTTTCACATTGATAAACTAGGTTTGTATATCACCAGACAGACACAGTCCTGATTATTTTTAACTATTTCAGGTCAGTTTCTGTTGTTGCACACAGACGTACTGTACCTTGACTGCACGAACTATTTAGGGGAATTTGATCAGAGCTCTTAAGAAAAGTTAGTGGGATAAGCAAGACGGTATCAATGTCTATTTCAGTTTACAGTTAGTTTGTCCTTAAGTTACAGGCACATCCCTCCAGAGCGCCCTACAATTATTCAGCTGACTTCTAACATTGAGGTTTTGTCTGTACTTTACTATCTTTCCCAAAGTCTGGTTTTATTTTTGAGAGTGTGTGAAGGATGATCATTTGCTTTAGTCTCTAATCTTGGTTGTGGGTGTGAGTGCAGTGGTGGTGCTTCCAAAAGAACCCCCCAAACCTACCATTTTTGCAGAAAATTAAATTTTTACAATATTTAGAAAGCATAATAGATTACCATTATTACATAAAGATCATTTTCTAACTAGATAATTTAAATAAGAGAATGGGTCTTTCATTTTAAAGTAGGTAAAAATAGGATAATAAATGATGTGCACAGCTCTTTGAACATTAGATTTTGTGAGAAATCATCGTTACTATCAGTTGTGGTGATTGAGAATGCCCATTGGATCCAAATTAATATGAATATCAGAAATGCATCCTCTCCTTGCTTAGTGGTTAGCATTCTTTCTCTTTCCTGTCAGTCGTGAAAAAGGTGGTATAATTTAGCTTTGATTAGCATAGAATTGCATATGGGAGATTTTGTGACTCTTGTTCACTGAAAGGACTGTTAATTTCTTTCATCCTTTCTGAAAAGGTTGGAAGTGTTGATATGAGGCTAATCACTTCTTAATCTAGGTATTGAATTCTTGCTTTAGTGGTAGTTTCTAGAAGATGGTTATTTATTCATGTAGTGAAATTGCATTTGTTGGTCTTTAGAAATAGTACTTCAGCTTTAAATAATAGAGCAAGAGTAGTTTTTGCTACTCTACAACTGAGAGTATTTACTGAGATAAACAGATTTTAAAAAGTGAAACAAGATCTAATTCATTTTTTAAATAACTTAAGGAAACTTTAAAGTGCTATTTGGATGTCAGATATAAAACCTGATTTTGGAGAAAATTATGTTCTATGAGCAGGAGGTGATGCTCAGTTTTTTTCATCTTTAAATATTTTAAATGAGTACTCAGAGCTATAATAAATTATGCATGTTCTTTTTTAGAAATTATAATTACATATTCTGATTCCATGTCCTGGCTTAGAAGGTGGCATTATTTCTCAAAATAAGAAATGCTAGCCTATCACAATGTGAGCACGTTTTTTCAACATGCTTGAAGCCTTTGATTTAAAGATCTTAGGAAATGGGGATTGTTGGTGTGTTTTTTCAGTTACAGTTGACTTCTCTGTCTGTGGGGTTATTCTTTCTATATTTAGCAGTTTCTACAGTTTTCATGGAATCTGTTGTGTATTGCTGAGGAGAGAGGTTCATTGTCAGTAGTGCTTTTCAAAGTAGATCTGCCATTGTATCATCTGCAGAATTTCAGAGGTTGCCCCGTGTACTGTTAGCAATCTTTTGAGATCTTGAACTTTTAGAAAAGATTTCCATACTTTCTTGCCCTGTTTTATTTCTTAGTAAGTGAATTGAATTAGTTCTATTGTTTTAAGGATATGGGCATTAAGACATAATATTTGAGGTCACTTACAGTTTGATATAGCAGATGTGCACCAAAGTTCGGTGGTTTTAGAGATTAATACCTTAAACCATATTGCCATAATAAAATATTTTTATAATTAAGAGGGGTACCTCCAGTATGAGTAACTTATGATATATTTAAATTGGTCTTGAGTATCCTTCCAGATTGCCCTTCTTCTGCTCATTGTCTTCAGGTAGTTAATTTAATATTAATATAGTAGTTAGGAAAACAATTTTGCTACAAAAAAAGTCAGAGGTTACATTAAAAAATTAAATATAAGTGACATCTATGTGACTGCTTTTTTCCATAAATTATATTTGGGGAGAGGGATATCTATAAGGGGAAGGGGAGGGCAGAGAATTCAGAATATTTTGAGGTAGTGCATTTCAAATTACTCACATCTCTTTTATACTTCCCACCTGCTTGAGAATCCCTGCTATGGTGAGCCACTTGGTGACAGCTGTGCTGGAGTCACAGGTACTGATTGGGATAGTAGTAGTAGGAATAGTAATAGTAGCAGTAGTAGGTGTGTTGGAGTAGAACAAAAGATGAGAACCAGTGCTTTAGAAAAACTCACCTCTCTGCCTTGAAGTACGGTTTTCTGCCTGTTCACCCCTTCTTTAAAATAACAGCAAAACAATATATCTTCTGTCATGTCCTCCTTTCCCTCAGCAATTGCTGAATAAGTATCTTTTTTTAAAGTGATTTACTGTTCACAGCCATCTAGAGCCACATTGAAAATGAACTAATGATATACTACCCTTTTACTACTTTAAAGCTATTCTGATTTTTTTTTTTTTAGTGTATCAGTTTTATTGCAATTTGTTTAACATTGGCTGTTAACCACTCATTGAACCGTTTCAGTGCCATAAAATGGTAGGTTTCAAAAATAGTATTCCCCCCCCCCCAATAATCTGCCCTCATTCTCACCTGTCCATCCTTGCTCTTCTTTTTTTTTTTTTTCTTGGCCACTCGGTTTGTGGGATATTAGTTCCCCGACTAGGGATCGATCAAACCTGGGCCCCTGGCAGTAAGAGCTCCTTCCTAATCCTGACCACTGAACCGCCGGGGAAATCCCCATCCTTGCTCTTTTTCAATAATTACTACATTGATTTCCCTTTGCCCTTCTACTTACTTACTTATACCAAGGCTATTCATATTTAGTTTCTAGTGCCATGTTCCATACTTGGATGAACTGGGTAGCATTCTAGACTAGTATAGTTAAGCTATTCTGTTTTTAAACAAGCGATGAGGCTGTTTTGCAGCATTGAACTTTGAAGTTTAATATTGCTCCAATATATATTTATTGAGTGCTAATTATGTGTTGGACACCTGGGATACAATGGAAAGCAAAAACGGACATAATCATCACTGTTATGGAACTTGGATTTTATTGGAATTTGTTGAAATAATTATCATATAAATGTGAAATTCCAACTTTGAGGTACATAGAGTAATGAGAACCTATTCTGGGGCATCAAGAAAGGCTTCTTTGAGGAAGTGACTGTTGAGTTGAGACATAAAGGATGAGTAGGAATTAATTAGGCCAAGAGAAATAGGAGTATTGTTCAACATTCTGGTAGAGGGAACAGGATGTAGAAGGCACCTGTGATGGGCGAGTGCTAATGCATTTGAAGAACTGAGAGTTGGTATGTGTTATAAGAGCATAGGGCAAAAGAAGTGATATGCAAAATAAGTTTGAACAGGTAGGTAGGGACAATACGTGATTTTCTAGACCATGTAGTAGATTTGAGGGCTTTATCATAACAATGGGAAATGTTTTAAATTAGGTGGTAACCTCAGATAGGAGATTAGAATAATTTACTCTGGCTATGATAAGGAGAGAATTTGGGGAAATAACAAGAATAAATGCAGAAAACCATTTAGGGGGCTCTTAATTCTGATCCATGTGAGATGATGGGAGTAGGATAGCAGAGGTGGAGGAAAGTGTTCAGAACAAGAGAGATTTGAGAAGTAAAAATAAAATCTAGGGATGGGTTGGAACAGAGGGATGAGGGAATTCAGGATGACTCCAAGGTGTCAGTTGGCTGGATAAATGGATGGATATTATATATTGCTAGCAATACTATATTGCTAACTGTTGATCAGTTACTATGGGCCAGGCTCTGTGCTAGGTCTTTTATATATATCGATTCACCCAATTCTCAAAATAGTCCTGTGGGGTAGGTTTAGTATTGTTATTCCCATTTTATAGGGATTAAGTAAGGGGCCCAAGACTACAGAACTAGAGAAACCAAGCTCTCCAAAAACACATTTATGTCTGGCTGGGGAAGGAGGAGGTGGAGAGAAAAAAAGCAAGCAAAAATAGTTGAGTGTGGCTGGATAGCCGGGAGGGGGAGGGGGAGTTCAAGGGAGGTATTGTTTTCTTTTTTTTTTTAATGGAAAAATAAACTTAAACATGTTTACAAGCCAATGAGAAGCATCTAGCTGAGGGAAAATCTGAATATTCTAGAGAAGAAGAGGATAATTAGTAAGATTTCTGAGTGAAGATGAAATCCAAAATACATGTAGAGAGAATGGCTTTATATTGAAAGGACAGCTATTATACTTAAAGGGAAAGGAGAGATGATAAGCACAGAAGCGGGAGTGTTTTGTGTGACGGCTTCTTTATTCTCTGTAGAATAGGAGCCTGGGACAACTGCTGAAAGTGGGTGAAAGTAAGAGCTTGAGGAGAGTGAAAAAGATTTGAAATAGTAATGGAAGAGTGGGAGAGCAAGTTGGCCAGAGAAATAGAAGGACTGCCAGACAATGCTGGGGACTAATTTGGAGTTATCATAAATTCATGGTAAAACCAGTCTACCCTGTCGTATGACTTTCTCTGGCAATACAGGCACAGTAATGAGAGTAATAATTGAGTTCAACCAGTGCTGTAGCAAGGAGTTTGCTATATAGACAAGA